GTGTCCAAATATTCAGTGTCCAGTTTCCTTCCTTCCTTTCTTCCTTCTTTCTTCTAGTTATTCATCCGTTCAACCATCCTCCCATCCATTACCCTCTTTCCCTCCCTCCCATCCATCCATCCATCCATCCATCCATCCATCCATCCAATATTCATTGAACTTCTACTATGTGCCTGTAGTATGTTAGAGCCAGCGATATCGAGATAGTAAGCCATGGTCTCTACTCTTGCAAAACTCCCCGATGTTGGGGAGACACACAGATAAGCAGACGGTGACAAGAGAATGTGGTTAAGTGTTGTGATGGGAAGCACAGGGCCCTGAGGAAGAACAGAGAAGGTGTATTGTTTTAATCAGTGATTGCTGCTAGATAATGCTGCATAACAAACAGCCCCCACATATCAGGGGCTTATGAGAAACATGATCTGTCTTGCTCATGGGCCTGTGCGTGGGCCAGGGTGGCTCTGCTTCAGGCTGCAGACGGGATTAAGGTCTGCACGCGTGCCCCTCATCCGTCTTGACCAGTGGCCACCTGGGACTTGTTCTTCTCAAGGTGAATGTCAGGAAGAGTGAGAGCAGAGTGCCTCTCAAGGCCGTGGCTCAGAACTGTTGTGCTGTCGCTTCTGTCACATGGCATTGGCCAAAGCAAGTTCCACACTGGGACCTACATCAATTGGTGGTGGAGAATGTCCTCTGCCCTCTCTAGTGGGAAGAACAGTGGTCACGTGGCAAAAGCATGATGTGTGAATGTAATGGAGGGAAGGAACTGGGCAATGGTTCAAACTACCACCAGGCTGTGCCTCAGATTTGGGGAGATGACCCAGGAAAGTCTCCCCAAGAAGGGTCCCCTGGGTTGGGTCTTGAGAGGGAAATACAAGTCCTCCCATTGGAGAAAGGGGGTCGTGGGCAGAAGAAGGAGTAAGGGAAAGGCATGGATGGGGATGAGCATGGTGCATTCCATTCCCCGGGGGGGGGGGGGGAGTGACAGAGTGGTAAAGTGAGTGTAAGGAATTGAGATGGCCGCCTCAGCAGCAGGGTGGCTTGAGGGTCAGGCTGGCACAGGTTTTCATCTGAGGGCAATGGGGAGCCATTAGAGGATTTTGAGCAGGGGAGGGACATGATGGGACCCTTACTCGGGCAACGGACAGGAGGCAGGAAGCCTGTGAGGAGGCAGCTGCTCCAGGTGAGTCAAGGGCCACGTGGTTTTGAATCTCATTTTTGTTTCAATAACTCAAGAGAATGAGGCCCGTCTCTTTGGTTAGATTAGAAATTCCTTGTGGAAAGATACTATTTCTTTGCTTTCTCTGCGTCCCCCAGCACGGGACTGGGGCCATCCAGGAGACCTCAGGCTCTGCTCCAGCCTCCGAGTGGTCTGATGCCTGGACCTTCTGAGACCCTCGATTTGTCTTTAGGTCTGGGACGAGGCCAGCCTGAAGGCACAAGAGTTGGCCAAGAGGGATGGTTGGGTGAACGTCCCTCCCTTTGACCACCCCCTGATCTGGTAAGGTTGCTGTCCCTCCCTCATAGAGCTTAGAGCCCAGACCCTCGTTGTGTTGGTGTCCTCCCAATGTACAGAAGGGAAAACTGAGGCCTAGAAAGGAGAAGATGCTTGGAAGCCAGGCACACTGGGGTTCAGGCCCTGTTTCTGTCACTTGCAAGTTGTGGGACTCGGCAAAGTATCTCACCACCCCATGCCTCAGTTTCCACATGTATAAAATGGAAATGTTAATAACAAATCCTGTTTATGGCGTGCACTTTGGGATGCATTTAATCATTTGATCCTCCCCAAAGCCCTAGAGGTGAGTGTTTTATGCCCATTTCACAGGCACAGAGGGGTCAAGGAACTTGCCTGAGATCACACAGCTAGTACGTGGCCAAGACATTGGGTCCCAGGCCCAGAACTTGAGTCAGCTGGTTCCAAGTGACATGCTGGTCTCCTCTTAAGCACACACTAACTACCCATTTCCAAGGTTGTGGAGGGGATTAAACGGGATAGTGTCTGAGAACGTGCCTGGAAAGAATGAGTGAATGAATAAATTGAATGAATGAAAGCTGAGTGAACTAAGTGTTCCTGGGTCTCCTCTCCCCTTGATGCAGGTGGGGATTGGTGTGGTGATGAGAAGAGTTTGTGTATATGTGAGCCTTTGGGAATGGAGGAGAGTTTGTGTATATGTGGGGGGACCTCGCTCAACCTGCTTCCTCCTTCCCCCAGGGAAGGCCATGCCAGCCTGGTGCGAGAGCTGAAGGCAGCACTGGGGACCCCACCGGGGGCCCTGGTGCTGGCAGTAGGCGGTGGAGGGCTCCTAGCTGGGGTGGCAGCTGGCCTCATAGAGGTGGGCTGGCAGCATGTGCCCATCATCACAGCAGAGACCCAAGGGGCACACTGTTTCAATGCAGCCATCAAGGCAGGCAAGCTAGTCACACTGCCAGACATCACCAGGTAGGTGTGGGCTGGGGGCATTTGTGGGGGGGCTGGAGGAAGGGGTTGTTTGTGTCACTGGGCTTCTCAGTCCCAACCAGTGGAGGCAGGGTGTACACAAGAGGTTCTACTTCACCTGGGGACCCTGACCATGGAAATGTGGATCTCACGTAGAAGGTGATGCCAAACAAGGAGATGAAGGATATGATTTGTTTAAGTTTCATGAATTAATGAAACAAGTTTCATTGGTATGTACCGTTAAAAAGGAAGTTTAAGTGTGTTGCAGGTAAGTTAGAAAATGTAGGCAAGCAATAAACAACAGAAAACAAAACGGCACCTTCAATCCCACCATCCAAAGATGAACAATGGGCTACATTTTCCCAGTCTTTGTTTTCCCCTTGTGCATGCATAGTTACACACAAGTAAAATGTGCCTGGCATATACAGTAGGTGCTCAACAAATGTTTGTGAAATGAATGAGTGAATTTGTATATGTATATGTATTTGTACATATATATGTATATATATAATTTATTTATATATAAAATTTATTTGTTTTGAGAGGAAGAGAGAGAGAGAGAGAGTGAGAGTGAGCACAAGCTGGGGAAGGTCAGAGAGAAGGAGAGAGAGAGAATCCCAAACAGGCTCTGCACCTCAGCATAGAGCCTGATGCAGGGCTTAAATTCATGAACTGTGAGATCATGACCTGAGCTGGGATCAAGAGTCAGGCACTTA